TAGTTACCCATAATAGCAAGAACACAATTCATAATATTAGATGAAGAAATCATGAACTTACGTAAAGAGAATAACAAACCCAGAAATTTAACTTGAATTGCAAAGCCAAAATCTTCAAAACAAACTTAGGAAATCAATAATTGTAGGTCTCTCAATTGATCTCCCCAAGTCACAAAGTAACACTAGGATAATAATGTCTAACCCCCAAAAACGAGGCTTACATGCCCTATTTACAGAAAACAAATCCTAAAATTAAAAGGGAAACGAATTAAAGGAAAGTTTTGTTCAGGTACGCGTCTTCAATCCATGAGACCGACTTACGGACCGTCGATGGATCTTAGGTGCGTAAGTCCCTTTCGTCAATCAGGACTTAGAAAATATTTCAGCTTCCAAAAATCAGCTTCTCTGAAGTAAACGACGGACCAGCAGTACGGACCGTAGATCGATATACGGTCCGTCAATCCTCTCTGTAGCTCCACACTTAGAATCTTCAAAAATCAGGTACTGGAACCCTCACAGTATCACTCTACGGATCAACAGTACGGTCTGTAGATCAATCTACGGATCGTCAATGGACGTCGTGGTTCCACACTTGGTCAGATTTCCCTGATTTGTCCTCCATGCCTTGACTGCTGATCTACGGTCATCACCTACGGACCGTGAATGGACCTACGGTCCGTAGATCACCTCCGTGAATGCCTTTCTTCTGCATTTCTTTCAGCTGTCTCTACACTTCCGCGCCTGAACATCTTTCCTGCAAAACATGATAAAAACACATCAGAACCAATATAAAAAGGCCTTAGACACACACAACTTGTAAGTGAACTGTATTAGAAATATCGTAAACTCACGGTACATCAAATAGTCAAGATACAAGAGGAGGACAGGACCCTGAACCAGGTGTATTGATCTATGAGGAAGGACAAATGAGTGGAGAAGTAAGTGGAGGAATGGAGATGACATCTATAGAAACATCAAACTCATGATAGTCACATGGAATGTGAGGGGATTTAACAAGGAGATGAAACATAAGGAGCTGAGATTGTTTGTTAGAAGGAATATAGTGAGTTTAATAGTAATATGTGAACATAGAGTAAGGCAAGATAGAGAAAAACTTATTATTAATAAAAGCTTACAAGGCTGGGAGTGGTGCACAAATACCAACACAAATGTAAGAGGAAGGTTATGGGTTATCTAGAATTCCAAGAAAATAAGCTTCACAAAGATGGAAGATGAAGAATAATATATACATGGTTTGGTGGATATAAATGATACAGAGTTTCAGTTTACTACTGTGTATTGACTTCATACTATAAGTGCTAGGATTCCATTATGGACAACAATTCATCAAATGAGTAGTCAAATTAATGAGCCATGGTTGATTATGGGGGATTTTAAACTCTATACTAGCACAGGAAGATCGAATAGTTGGAAGCCAAGTTCAAGATGCAGAAATAAGAGATTTCAAAAAATGTGTGACTGATTCTAATCTAGTCGAACTGCACATATGAGGAAGGAACTTCACATAGACTAATGGGCATGTATATAGCATAATAGAAAAAACTATAGTTAATGATGAATGGGTGAACAAAATGGCAACACAACATGCCATTGCTATGGAACCTTTGTTTTCAGATCATTCTCTTATAGACTTGATAATAGAGGAACAAAGGGATGTAAGAAAGAGACCTTTCAGATTCTATAATTGTGTAGGACAGCATCCAGAATTCAGGAGCAAGGTAAAAGATAGCTGGTAAATATTAAGTGGAGGCATGAAAGGGGTATGTTGAAATCTAAAAAGGGTAAGGAAAGAGATGCAACAATTAACAAAAAGAGTTATGGGTGTTCTGAGAAAGTGCAAGAAATCAGAAGAGAGCTCATAGAGAAACAAAGGAGTATGAAAGCAAGTCCAATTCCACAAGGCAGTATTGATGAGGAGAAACCACTGAGAGGAAAATTGGCATAATGGAGTATGATTGAGGAGAATATATATAAGCAGAAGTCCAGAGTACAATGGCTCAAACTGGGGGATGATAACAATGCTTATTTCTTTACTAGTATGAAAGGTAGGAAGGCTCAGAATCCGATCTCCATGATAACAACAGAGGATGGCGCTGTTATTAGGGAAGCAACATATATTACCAAGGAGGCTGTGGATTTTTATAAAAAGCTGTTAGGACAATGTAACAACCACATGCAAGCTACACAACCTGAAATGCTAAAAGATGGACCAATACTTACAAGAGAACAACAATTATTCCTCATTCTACCATTCAAGGAAACTTATGTGAAGGCAACACTTATGAGCATTGGGGATTCAAAAGCATCAGGAGAGGATGGTTTCAACTCTTACTTCTTCAAAAAAGCTTGGCTAAGCATTGGGGAGGAGGTAACAACAGATGTTCTACAATTTTTCCAAACTACTGAGATGTATGCCCCTATAATAGAACCTTTGTCACACTAATTCCAAAGGTGAAACATCTCACCTCCATAAAAGAATATAGGCATATTTCTTGTTGCACTACTTTGTAAAAGATCATTTCAAAGATGCTCGCAAATAGACTTCATAGTGTGATGAATTATCTAGTTGATCTAGGACAGGCTGCTTTTGTACCTGGTAGAATGTTGACTGATAATGTGCTTCTTAGCCATGAACTGGTAAAAGGGTATGGTAGAAAAGGGATCTCACCAAGATGTATGTTCAAGATAGATATGTAGAAGGCCTATGACTCTTTGGAGTGGCATTTTCTGAAGGAGGTATTAGCTGGTATGTAGGTCCCTCAAAAGTTCCTAGGATGGATAATGAGTTGTGTTAGGACTATTTCTTATTCTATAATGATTAATGGAATGTCCTAGTGCACCTTTCAAAGAAAAGAGAGGGATGAGACAAGGGGATCCTCTGTCCCCTTATTTGTTTATCCTTTTCTATGGATTACCTCACAAGAATGCTGAAAACATTGAGAAGAAATCCAAATTTTAAGTACCATCATAGATGTCACAGACAACACATCAAACAACTTAGCTTTCCTGATGATCTCTTGCTATTTAGTAGAGGAGATGTAACATCAACTACCCTCTTGTATGAGTGTTTCCAACAAATCTCAAAGGTGTCTGAACTCATAGCAAATCAGGCCAAGAGTTGTGTGTACTTTAGAGGTGTGTTAGAAGATATGCAACAATTAATTCTACAGCATATAGGTTTTGTAAAGGGCTTACTTCCTTTAAGATACCTTGGAGTACCTTTGAGCTCAAGGAAACTGTCAGTAGGTCAATGCCAACCATTAATAGACAAGTTAATGGGTAGAAATGGACTGTCAACTTCTTGTCATATGCAGGGAGGTTGCAATTGGTAAATAGTGTGCTAACATCTATGCAAGCTTTCTGGACACAAATCTTTTTTCTACCAAAACAAGTACTGAAAAGAGTTGAAACAATGTGTAGGTTTCTATGGAATGGTGAGTGAAGGCACTCATTGCATGGGACACACTCTGTTGGTCAAAAGTAGCAGGAGGACTTAATGTTACTGATATCTACATGTGGAATAAAGCAGTTATACTAAAGCTCTTGTGGGATCTAAACAATAAGAAAGATAAACTATGGATTGTATGGGTTCATACCTTTTACCTCAGAGGTAGAAAACCATGGGAAGTAAGAGCAAACCAGGCTTCTTGGATAGTGAGGAAAATTATACAGGCAGGACATTTGCTTGAAGAGAAGGGTTTGCAAATTGCAGAAAACATGGAGACAAATGATTTTAGTGTTAAAGCAATGTATAAGAAGCTAATGCGTGATTATATCAAGGTTCCCTGGAGGAAAATGACTTGCAACAATCAGGGAAGTCCTAAATGGATCTTTGCACCGTACTTGGCTATAAATAAAAGATTATACACTAGAGATAGACTGAAAAAATGGGGGATCACAAATGATATCTTTTGTCTACTTTGCAAGGAAGCAAATGAAACTCATCAACATTTATTCTTTAACCGTATATTCTCAAGAAGGTTGTGGCAAAATCTCTTGAATTGGCTATCAATTAATAGAGTTAGTAATGGATGGACTGAGGAACTGACATGGGCTGTACTTCAAGCAAAACTATACAAGCAGAGATCTACAGAATGACCTTAGTTGCAGCAATCTACTACATTTGACAAGAAAGGAACTACATGATTTTTCAAAAAAACACAGAGATGATAACTAGAGTAATCATCCAAAGCATACATTCTAGAGCTAGTATGATACCTAGGTTTATAGGTTTTATGCACACGCTTAACATTTATCCTTAGAATAGGTACTAACACGAAGGATCTTTTCAATTAGCTGGACTCTGAGAGTGGAAGTTGTCCACATCCAGAGTTTCCAACATTGTATATATTGCAAATCTGGTAATAATAAATTACAGTTACCAAAAAAAAATATGGATACATTTCACTAACTGAATATCCTACTTCTGAGTCTCTTTACAAACTAAAAAAAGCATAATTCAGAAGAAAAAACTAAACTAAGAAAAGCTAAAACACAACTTAATTACCTCGAATTTCAAAGGCAGTTGGTCATTGATAAACTACGATTATATTAACTCTAGCAAAATTCTGTCCAAAAACGTCATGAATACAAAGGTACATAGTCGCAGAACAACAACATAGCGGGAGAACTAATAGATTTTTATTCTTCTAGCCCATAGATCCACTCTTCTGTTAGTTCAAGTTTTGGATAGCCAGCATCCTTCATATTGATGGTTAAATTTCCCAACATATCATATATCATGCAGTACTGAGGATGCTTCTTATCTTTAGACAATCCCACCTTTGACAATCCCATTTTGTGCATTCCTCTTCTAACGTTATCTACAGACTGCCAGTTTCTTTCCTTTGCATATATATTTAAAAGCAAACATGATAACCAGAAATTCCATCACTCCCCTCTAATTCAAGCAGCTTACTGGAAATAATTTTCCACAATTAAAAATTTATATGCAGTCTGCTGGCTTCAAAGAGTGATCCTCATATTCCCAAGACATTACACTCAACACCCAACTTTTTAGCAAAATTATGAGCTTCATCCAACCGTCCAACTCTTCCTAACATGTCAACCACACAAGCATAGTGCTCTGCTGACAGCTGAATCCCGTATTCTTCACCCATCATCTCTAATATTTGAAGGCCTGAATCAACCAATCCGGTGTAGTTACAAGTAGACAGGACTGCTACAAAGGTAACAACATCTGGTTCTAAACTATTCTGCCGCAAATAGTAGAACATTGTTATAGCTTTCCTACCCATCCCATGAAGGCCGTACCCCAAACTCATATTTGTATATGTCACAGAGTTCTTCTCAGGAGATTTTAAAAAACACTTTCAGCATAATCAATGATTCTTGATTTTGAATACATGTCTACCAAAGCATAAACAACATAAACATTGTTCTCAAATAAATTGTGAATTGCAAAACAATGTAGTTGCTTGCCTATTGCTATACTTCCTGACTGGCTGCATGATGGTAGGATTGAAGCTAAGGTCACATCATTTGGCTTCACATTCTGCTCAAGCATCTCCTTGAAGACAACAAAGGATTGTTCAATTAATCCATTTTGTGTGTTTCCGGCAATCATAGCATTCCTTTGGAATATTGCTTGTACTTCTCTAATCATATTAGATTTGGCATACATGTCTATCAGGTTACTCTCCATCCCTTCAAATTAAATATTGTGCCTCAGAAGATAGCATGGGTCTGTTTACCAATTTCCTTGTCCCTAAGATTTGATGCCGCAAAAAGTAGGATGGTAATTGTTATATCATCAATTGCAACCCATAGCTTTTTCATCTCATATACAAGCATCAAAGCCTCATTATCCAGTTCGTTTTGTACCAAAGCAGACACCATGGTGCTCCATGAAACTATATCTCTTTCCTTCATGCCATTAAAAACATTAAATGAATTGCCAACATGGTTACACCTAGAATATGTGGCTATCATAGCATTAAGAGAAATAACCTGCGAATCCCTGCATCTGCAACTGTGAAGTTGCCATAAGAGCAAATACAAATGTCACATCATCAGTAATACCAACATCCTCTGCTTCTACGGCTTCAAGAAAGAGATCAACTGCTTTAAAATGAAAATTGTTCTAAATGTACCGACTAATCATAGAGTTCCAGATCTCTGTATTTGTTTCACAAGTTTTCTCAAATATTATGGTCGCCAAATCAATTCAGCCAAGCTCAGAATGGCAGCACTAACAACAAACATGTCCTTTACAGATGCATTACCCAATTTCACAAGCAATCCATAAAGAACATCAGCAACTCTAAAATCCCCTATTTCTGATACAGGAATTTCTTCGATCTTCAAAAAGATGACTTTGTAAGTTTCGGTATGAGTAATGATATTGTATTGATCGGCAAGAAAAACATTATTAAAACTAACAACAATTGGCTTAATGCCTAATCTCATCATCATAACAAAACACCTCACTGCTTCTGAAAACCTCTTCCTTTACACATACCATGAAAACATAGTATTCCACGCAACAACATTTCTTTTATGCATAGTTCTAAACACCCTTACAACTAAATCACAACCAGAACCATTGTCCAATGTAAGACAAGTAGCAGAGTACAATTCAACAAAGAATTACTAACAATCCTACTAGGACAAATCCCAGAATGCAGAATATTTCAATGAACAACATTACCTAAAAGAATATGTTTGGTCTCCATGCAAGCCTTGATAACATAGGAATAAGTATATTGATCACATACAGATGAAACCACATGTTTCAATCGAGAATAGAATGAAATTGCTTCATGGAGCATGTTATTACAGATAAACCCAATGAAAATTGTGTTCCAAAGGACAGTTGTTGGTTAAGGAATTGTATGGAACAGTTGGCGGGTGAGATGGGGTTAAACGAAAGCGAATTGTTCTGGGTTTTGGCTCTGTGAAAGTGCAATGTTGGTCGGTGAGGAGTAGAGAAGAGTAATTTGGGAGATAGGTTAAGCTCAAAGATGGAGCCTGTGAGAAAGTTGAAGAGGACAATGTTTTGGTCTTACAAATACTCATCCATTTCAAAATTATGATCTTACAAATATTTGGTCTTACAAATACTCATCCACTTCTCATGAAAGCAAGCCTAGCCATTGACAATTAAAAAAAGTAAAAAACTACATATTTAATCAGAAAATATTGTAGATCTCAGTAGTTGGAATTAATACTTTGTATTATGTTGGTGATGCAGTTAAGACCAAATACACCTATGAAGATGTACTCTATCCACCTAGAAATATAATAATATATGAGATGTTAAGAAGCACAGCAACATGGTCATTCAGAAAAAAGAAATTTTGAAATTCCATTTTAGTAAAAATGTAAGACGTGCAATCAATTACAAGAAATGAAATGAACATCAATTCAGATTATTAATGTCGTCCTCAAGAATTGTACTGCAAACAGACATGTGTTCCTATTTTGTCCAAGAAGCCCCATTTCACCATTCTACATATTCTTTTGAATTCTGGTTTTGCATTTCGCCATTCTCCGAGGAAGTGCTTTGGTCATTTCCTGCAATTGGTTGTTGATATCCTCGTTGGTCGCAAGAGTATTCTCAAAAAATTTATCATCCTCCTTAGTCCGAAAGAGGTTATTGCATGTCCGATCGATGTTCGTTTTCTTTTGGATCAACAAGGAAAGCTTTAACATGAAAAAGGTAAGCTCAACAAGAGGATTAAGAAAACGGAGGAGAGTCAATATATGACCAAAAACTACCATAAATATCGGGCATCTAAAATAAGATTTTTTGTACCCTCTAACACTTAGTAATAAAAAACAATCGCGGCAACACGCATTCTTTTAATCAGTTATGGATACTAAGAAAAGTAATGAGGGACTAGTAAAAGGAACAAACATGAAGATACATTTGATACACTACTAGAGAAGTCCCCAGAGATACGAAGCATATTATGAGAGCATTTGCATTCTTTACCTTTTCTATCGAACTGAAGGTTTTGTAATAAGAAAAAAGAGTACAAATAAAAAAACTATTCATCTCAAGATATGAAAAAAATATATCATTGAGTATATACTTTTGTTCTTGTTAATGATGCAAACAAAAAAACATCTATGGCCTTGTACCACATAATGGGAAAGAAATCTTGTCAATCCAACATTTGTTATCAAAATAGAAGGAAAAACTCATATTCCCTTGTAACACAATCTAACCACTTAAAACTAGGGACTGTGCTAAGACAAAATATATCTTGGACAAGAAATCAAAAGGAAAGCTATACAAATTCATGTTTTTCCTTTTTAAGAAACATTGAATTCTCTATACATTAACTTTCAACAATGGAAACCATGTTAAAGAAGAGTCCCTAGAAAATGTTGACACAATTTTCTCTCCTGAGATAGAAACAAGCAGAATCTGATGATATTCAAGTAGGTCAGTATCACTTTGCATCTCTTCAGAATCTACACCAAAAACAACATATAAATCAACCATTTGTGATTGAATACACATTCTCTTGTGTCGTCATTACCTTTATACATCATGAAATAACAAATTATTGATCATGTGAATGGAAGATTTACAAAACCAACAAATAACAACATACATAGTGTAATCTCACAAGTGAGTCTGGGGATGGTAGAGTGTACGTAGACATTACCCCTACCTTGACAGGTAGAGAGACTAATTCTGATGCACACTTGGCTCAAAGAAAACCATATAAAGCGGATCGAGAAATAGAAGATTTACAAAACCAACAACAACTTCATATCCAGCGAAATCCCACAAGTGAGGTATGGGGAGGGTAGAGTGTCTATAGACCTTTACCCTACCTTGGGAGGCAGAGAGGTCATTTCTCATTGACCCTCAACTCAAAGAAAAGCATATCAAATCGAAAAAGGAAATTTTACCTAACCATGACAAAACAATTTAAAGGGAAAGCCATGAAAGATCTTGCTTTTTCCCTTCAAATAACTAATTATATCTCTAAAAAATATCTTTCCTAAACACAAAACATGTTAACGAAGAGTACCAAAAATGATAGCACAACTAGTAAAATCTGATGATCACAAAGCACAGTCAAAGCAAAATTCTAAGTGACTCAATCTACAGTTATAAGTTGTATCACCTATAAAAACAAGCATTCAACCAAAAAGGAATCAATCAATAATTTCAAGTATATTTATGTGTGTGATTCCTCTTTGGTTGAATTCTTATTTCCATAGGTGATGCAACTTATAATTGTAGATTGATTCAATTAGAAGTTTGCTTTGATCGGTGCTTTGTGATCATCAAGTTCTGTTAGTTGTGCTGACATTTTTTGGTACTCTTCTTTAACATGCTTTGTGGTTAGGAAAGTTAATTTTTAGAGATTTGATTAGTTCTTTGAAGGGAAAAAGTAAGATCTTTCATGTCTTTCCCTTTAAGATATTTTAGCATGGTTCAGTAAAGCTTTCCTTTTTCGATATGCTTTGATATGTTTTTCCTTGAGTTGAGGGTCAGTCAGAAATGACCTCTCTACCTCCCAAAGTAGGGTAAGGTCTATAGACACTATACCCCTACCCATACCTCACTTGTGGGATTTTACTAGATATGATGTTGTTGTTAGTTTTCTAAATCTTCCCTTTCTTGGATCTATTTTATATATTTTTCTTTGAGCCAAGTGTGTATCAGAAATAGCCTCTCTACCCCTCAAGTTAGTGTTAAGGTCTACGTACACTCTACCCTCCCTGACTCACTTGTGGGATTACACTTGGTATGTTGTTGTTTGTTGGTTTTGTAAATCTTCCATTCAAATGATCAATAATTTGCTATTTCATTATGTATAGAGGTAATGACGACACAAGAGAATATGCACTTAATCATATATGGTAGATTTATATATTGTTTTTGGTGTAGATTCCGGCGAGATGTAAAGTGATACTAACCTACTTGAATATCATGAGATTCATCTTGTTTCTATCTTAGCAGAGAAAAATTGTGTCAACATATATGGTAGATTTAACATGGTTTCCATGGTTGAAAGTAAATGTATAGAGATTTGAATTTCTCAAAAAGGAAAAACAAGATATTTTTATAGCTTTCCTTTTGATTTCTTGACAAAATGACGTAGTATAGGAACTAATTAATTAGGAAAAGACCCAACTCACCTTGAAATTTAAGTGACAAGCGACCACTAATGGACCCAGTCGACGGACCGTGGTCTGACCCACGACCCGTCTTGGTGGATCGTCATTTGGTCATCAGAGACTCTAATTTGGGGCTTTGAACCACAGACCTAGATAACGAATCGTGGTATGACCTATGGTCCATAGGCCTGGCCATAGTTATTGGCTCTCAGACCATAGCTAGGCAGGCTATCCACGGACCACACCTATCGTCCGTGGTCCTATCGACAGTCCGTGGGTGGCCGGCGTGGTTTGGCACCTGCAACATCTAGAAAGCTGCTATTTGGTCTTTTTGAATACGAGGTGTTACAACTTGTGACCCAAATCAGTGGAATTTGCTTGTTGACTAGAGTTTCACTTCCTCAGAAACTCTCTATGCTTTTTGACTATTTTATGAAATCTGATAGTAAGATAGGCCATTTCCTCATAATATTTTGATAGGTCACTTGGTGATGGTTTTAGTTCCAAGAACTTGCCTTTCCTTCAGTCCTTTTTGGAATTTTTTTGTTGCTTTTTTAGTTCGTATATTTGAAGATTCTCAATCAACTCGTCCATGGTAAGAGTCTTCAGGTTCCTAGCTTCAGTAATAGCATTTACTTTGCTTTACCATGACTTGGGAAGGACTTGGTGAATTTTACGAACCTTCTTGCTTGGATGAATAGTTTCATTAAGACATCGGAGCTCATTGGTGATGGAAGTGAAACTGGTGTGCA